TTGTTGCTGATGATCTGCAGATCCACGCATTGCAGCCAATCGGGTTGGGAGCCGCCATCAGAGGTAATACCCCAGCCACAGGCAACAGCCCACCAGCCATCGTACATGTTATAGCGGTCGTTGAAACTGGGCAGCTCCACCTTGTTGACCATTGACCAGAAATCGACATGGGGAGTGTGGATCAGAGCGATATCATTACCATTGTTGTGTGGCCAGTTGTGGTTCTGTCTAAACTCCCCGCTGCCCACGGTGTGGGTGAACTGGGCGTTGGTACGCCACGTTGCACCATAGTATATGGTCACAGAGCTGGCGCCGTTGGTGCAGTGAGCAGCTGTCAGCACCCAGTCGTGAGCAATGATGGAGCCACCACACCACCAGCCATTGAAGCTCAAGCCAACGGTGTAGGGGGCCTTGCCCTCATATGCGGGGTAGCCATTGGTAATGCGACCCTCGATCTTGGCCGACATAGGTAGATCCTTGGGATGGACCTGCTCTACTGTTTCCGCGGCAACGGCAGCGACTGCCAAAGCAAGTACTATGAAAGCCTTCATGCTTAACACACAATTGGTGTCTTTCGACCGCAATGAAGCGTATTTTATATGGGTTTTCTATCATATCAATTGTACTTCAAAAGATATCAGACACTCATTCAAATTGAATATATATTAATTTATTTCAACGCTCGAAAAGAAATGCAGATAACAAGTTTTCTGAGTTGCCAACGCATTGTGCGCTGATCAAAGTTTCGCAAGCCCATAACCTTTATTTGCCCCGACAACATCTCAATATTACCTATATACAAATAATATATAGGGGCCACAGGTTATTCCATTTCTAGGTTAGAAGAAACCACTCCACTACCTTATATTATATCTAAAGCAGTTTTGCATATCATTCATCAGAATAGTACATTTATAAATTGCAAAACAATAATTAATTATATGACACCTAGGTAATTATTTTATACACTTTTTTAACATTTTATAATATTCAGTACGTTTTGACAAACGCACGTTAATGTTCAATACATTTTTGTATTTTCGTAACGTATTTCAATTTTAAATTTACCCGGTATTGTGAGACGACCTCTATTGGAAATGACATTAGGCATTCAATCGAAGCAAAGCAACTTTGAATCGATATACATCGATTAGAAATCGAGCAAATGAAAAGGTATGTTAATAACTGAGAAAAACAGCTGTAAACTCTAAAGCTGAAGCAGTCACAACATTCGAAATTGCTGCTACTTAATTATTTTATTAATAATAATAAATTATCTGGAATGCAAACATAAGTATAAGATCCCAAATAAAATTAAATTTCGCACATTGTTCTTAACATCACATTATATGTTAAGCTATGTTTCCCTGCTATGTTAAATAACATACATAGTTGCTTCATTTTCAGCTTCCACCTAACAATCAAAAAAGGGAAAAAGTAAATATCAACACCAAGCGATAAAAACGCTGGAAAAAATCTTGAAACTCATCAGCATGTTATAGATTGAATAATGGAAAATATTGTGCACAAATTTGCAACGATTAGTTTTCAACCACAAGAGGTTGTCTTAACAGAGAATCGGTAAGTTCACCGAAGCAAAAGAAGCAAAAAGCAACATTAAAAGTAAACGGAGACAACATAATTTTTTAGCGCTGCACCGAATTCCAAATTTTCTTGGAGTCCTAAATCAGCGGCTGTCACAAACACAGCGGATGAGATGCTGGACTCGGAAAGCCCAGATACGGACCACTCGGATGAGGTGGACTCGCAGCTTAGCCGCGGCGAGGATAACGATGAAAGCGATAGCTATAGCAGCAGCTACCGCAATGGTCGTCGCGGCGGAGTTGCCCGACGGCGAATGCCCACTCGCGTCTCAAAAGACAATTTTAATCGGGTGTGCAGCACCATTATGCGTACAGAAGTGAAGAAGAAACGTAATGAGGTGCAAACAAATGAACAGATGCTGCGCAGCATTGAGAAGATCTACACGAGCAAGCGTATGAAGAAATTTACGCCTACAAGTCTGGAGACTATATTCGAGGAGCCCAGCGATGAAAATGCCGCCGATGCTGAAGACGATAGCGAGGAATGCGCCATTACCAGCCAAGTGCGGGTAGTTAAGTTCGGTTCTCGCAAGTTGCGACGGGCCATCTCCTTTAACGATGGCCTCACAAAGAACAAGAATCTTATCAAGAAACGCCGCTTGAAGGTTAAGAAAACGTTCGGCAAACGTTTTGCACTTAAAAAGATCTCAATGGCCGAATTCCACGATCGACTCAATAAAAGTTTGGACAGCGCCATGTCTGATACTGGCGACGATGTACCAACTAGCAGCAGTATGGATGTAAAGTCAACAGTTAGTACATTCATGGACGATATGCAACTAGCGAGACATACGCCGACATTTGAATAGATAGGGGGAGTCGTCGGATGGTCTTTAAGAAGATGCTTTGATGAACAGAATGAAACAAGCTAAAATTTAAATACATTAACAGATTCAGGAGAGATGTCAAATGAAGTAATTCGCATCATCGTAATAAATGCGAATATAAAATAGCGGGATCTTTGTCAATTGTACTGTTTATCAATTCAGCTAAGTCTTATGTAAGATTTTGTTGATTTAATGTTTACATAGTAAGTGCAGTTGAGCATTAAAACATAATTTAATTTAATTTAATTTAAACATCATTTGCATTGAACAGCTGAAACTATTTATATTCTATGTTAATGTATGGTCTTAAATATATGTATGTAAGCCTGAATTCAATTCGAAATTTGATTTAGCAATGAATAGAATTGTACCAATTTATAATGTATTAATAGTATCTATTACTTGTCTTAAGCTCAACTAGGAACTGCATGCGCAATGCTAAAATGAATTTTCACTGCCGTAAAAGCAACAAATTAATAAAGCAAAAAATAATTTAATTTAAACGATCATAAAGTGTAAAGAGAAATGAATTGTAATCACTGACATTATCCAAATGATAAATAGTTCGATCGTGGTGCTAAATTAAATAACGGCAAATGCATTAGCAAGTGCAATAAAATTCAGGTGCTTATTATTATTCAGCAAACACACATACATATGTACTTGCATATCCACATACATATGTATGTACATTCATATACAATATGCAAGAGCGGTACTCATAATTCCGATTATGCATTAAATATCGACGGATGAAACTCAAAACGAAGTAAAGAAACAAATCAAGAAAAGCAAAGTAAACTTTTAATACAACGCACCGAGTATTCAATACTCTGGGTTCATCATCCAAGCGTATTTAAAAAAAAAAAAAAAAAAAATCAAAGGACATACATATTTTGTAGCATTAGTATTTACAAGAATAATAATATTATTATTATATTGATGAAAAATCAATAACAATAAAATTAATATTTGTCTATAAACAAAACAACAAGTATTTATTAAAGCATGTGGGCCGATTCCCCTCGTACGCTTATTATTCCACGAAACTAAATAAAAAGCACAGCTAGCAAGCGCTAGCCGCAAAAAAAAAGTCTTCCAAAACGAGGGGCGCAAAGATTTGCATAATCGACGCCGCTGCTTTTATTTTGTGTGGCTGTTGCTGTTATTACTGTTGTTATAATTGCTCCAATGCAGTCGCCGCTGATTGTTGTATTTTGTTGTTGGTAGCCTCATTACATTTGAACATATCACCGATCCGCGAGACGATTTGATTTATTTGCTTCGCTTGGCAGGCAAAGTGAGCCGCATTTCCTAAATCGACAAAAACAATAATGCCAGCCCGCAAACCAAGAAATACTTTCAACACCAAATTAAAGTTATTTCAACGAATTAATTTAATTATAAAATTATATGTATGCAACACGTTAGCAGTAGTTGTAAAAGAAGGGATGGGGTGCTCAGATATTTTTGATTTCCTGCTATCAAAAATTCTTCAGTTTCATTCACATGCATGCAATGCTGTTAATTTGCCTATAACTGCGCTGTACCCTGGCAATAACCTTGGCTTAAGTGAAGAGGAGAAAAGACAACCAGCCGACTTGGTGGCACAGTGGGCAACCCACACTGCAAAATGTACGGGTTGTGAGTTCGCGAATTTTGCATGTGAGTAAACACGATGCAGCCCACTGTTTGGAGCCAAATAAACATGTAATCGGTGCTTCTACAGTATAAGGGGCATGTCAAAGCGCTGAGCGGGGTAAATAAGGCAAAAGACAAATGTATCGTGTAATGTTTTTTGTTTCACTTACCTTTTGCCGTCAACAATAACAATAACAACATGCGCTATGTTTGTGAATGAAAGCATTTTACCGCATGCTGCGCATTTCACAGCCTACACACACACGAACTTACACACACGCGTGATGTAACTAGTAACTAGAGTTACAGCTATGTATGTATATGTATGCATATTCACTTTTCAAACTGTAAATGGTAATAACAACAACACAGCGAGCAACGGGCAGATATGACCGTCGACGATGCTTGTCCAGATTTGGCTTGCGCACGCACAACACGAAAAACGCACACTATAGTAGGAGCCGGCGCCAAAGGGCGAATGACAAATGTCAAAAGAAATACGATGTAAACATAATAAAAGCGCAAGCGTAACACACAGGTCGCAAGAGAATAAGGGAAAGAGAGCAGACAGAGTGATACCAAGAGAGTGTAAGTGAGAGACAAAATAGTGCAAGGAGAGCGTGAATGCAAAAATGGTATATTGAAGCGAATGCGATTGGCAGCGACGCCGCTGTCGCAGCCGCTCTCGACGTCCAATGAATGCATCAAAGTAGACGAAAAAATTAAAGCAAAGAAAAGAGTTTATAAAAATGTTTGCAACATGCGCGCGCCACCACAGTTGTTAGCGAGACGCTGATCGACAACGAGAGTCCAAGACCAAGGAGAGTATCAAGGCAGTAAAATTTACGCGCCCGTCGTAACGGCTTTTCAAAAACTAAACGGGAAACCATTTCAGGAAGACTCTTTGTGTATGTGCGTATGCGTGCACTCACGCATGTGTGTGTACAGCTTAATTAAATTTCAATTAAATATTAAATGCGTGCGCCAGCAGTAAGCAGCAAGAAAAAGCAAAGCAAATGGTTTTACAGTCGGCAAGTGTTTCAATTATTGCGACATTGACAGCACAACGCCTGTTTCTGTTGCTGGTCACCTGGATGACCTGGCGCCGCTGCATCCATGTGGCTGTTGCACTAGACTGGCAACAGGTTAAGCCCATGTATTTAGTGTCCATGTATCCGGGACCATTTGGCATGCCAAAGTGGCAAACGCCATCAATCGCCTCTTTATCCGCCGAACTAGATGCGGAAATGAGCGCTAGCAATGACGATAGCCGCATCAGCGACAGCTCAACAGGCTCTGCGGACATTTCAGCGGAGCCAGAGCCCCTGGTTTTAAATTTGGAAACAACACCATTGATGGACAGCATGTTACCAGACGGTGCTATGGCGATGGATCGTATCTTTGGCGGCGATGTGGGCAATCCACATTGTTTTCCCTATCAAGTAGGCATGCTGCTGCAGCGTCCAAAGGGTCTCTATTGGTGCGGCGGCTCGCTAATCTCGGAGCAGCATGTGCTAACAGCTGCACACTGTGTGGACATGTAGGCCAAGATAAATTAGCAGCCATGTTTATGTTTAGCTAAGCTGCGCCTTCTGCTCCCGTTTACAGGGCCAAACGCGCGCTGGTTTTTCTGGGAGCAAATGAGATTAAGAATGCTAAGGAGTCGGGACAGGTGCGTCTCATGGTGCCGAGCAGCAATTTTCATATCTATCCCACCTGGAATCCGAAACGCTTGAAAGATGACATAGCAATAGTGCGTCTGCCACATGCTGTTAGCTTTAACGGTAAACTATTCCTTATCTTATTAAAGCATCTGAAACTAAACCTTTTTGTTTTATCAGAGCGCATCCATCCCATACAGTTGCCAAAACGGCACTACGAGTATCGCAGCTTTAAAAACAAGCTTGGTATTGCGTCCGGTTGGGGACGTTATGCTACAGGTGTGCATGCCATAAGCAATGTGCTGCGCTATGTCCAACTGCAGATAGTCGATGATCGCACCTGTAAGCGTAATTTTCCATTGTCCTTTCGCGGCACAAACATATGCACCAGTGGACGCAATGCCAAATCTACTTGCAATGGTGATTCTGGTGGCCCACTTGTGCTACAGCGTCGTCATTCAAAGAAACGTGTTCTGGTTGGCATCACCTCGTTTGGCAGTATATATGGTTGCGATCGTGGCTATCCGGCTGCCTTCACGAAGGTGGCCTCATACCTAGACTGGATTAGCGACGAGACAGGCGTGCATTCGCACCAGGATACCACTGAAGCTATTTTCTTTGATCAGTATGTCAAGAAATATGCCAAGCAGCAACACAAACATGAACATCAGATGGTGGACGATGTACCCGACGAACTGGACATCCATCACCCATTGTCCGACGAAGATACGTCGGAGAATCTTAGCATACGGCCACATTCCAAACAGAAATCAGAATTCGATTTTTATTTCTTGTAGCTGCCAAGTAAAATAAACCTTTATTTTAAGCAAACAGCATTAATAACCATGATTAACCACGCCAGTGTTGTTCTCGATCCAATCTAAATACGATGTGATCCGCGTAAACACTCCTGGCCAGCCAATCTCACAACCAAAAACAATGCCGAAGGAGGTAGCACCTATCAAGGTGTTACTGCCATCCGCCAGGACTAAAGGACCACCGGAGTCGCCGTTACAGGTGGATGTGCCGCCAGTGGTCTTGATACAGATTACGTTACTGGTCAGAATACCTCCGTACCAGGGTGAGCAGCCCGAGTTCTTCATGATTGGCACATTAATGTACTGTAGAATGTCAGTGGCACCACTTGCACCTTAAAAAGGAGATATTAATTAGTGGTGATACTATTAACTGTACCATTTACACCACCTACTATCACTGATCTTGCCCCAGCCGGAAGCGATCGCCTGCTCACCGACGTAAGCATTGTACGACTCCTGTTTGACGGGCAGTTGAGCGGGTTGAATATACTCATTGAGCTCAATAGGCACGGGCAGCTTTATGACCGATATATCGTGGGTTAGGGTGGATGCATCCCATCCCTCATGCACAGTGACGTATTTGGTTGGCACAAAGATAATCTGCTGACCTTGTTCTAGTTTGTTAGTACGATTCCAGGCGCCCAGATAGACATCTACACCCGTGGTCAAGCTGTCCGTGCAATGAGCCGCAGTAATCACATGACGATCACTAATTAAAGAGCCACCACACCAGGCTGCGCCCCCTTCAAGGTAGAGCATTAGTCCAACCTGGTACGGAAACTGACTTCTGCCAGCTGTATCACCCCTGGTAATGCGTCCAGCATGCACATTAGGGCGATGAATTGTTAATTTGGGATCAATGTCGACGGATATGAGGGATTGCCAGTCCACGGCCGTGGCACCGATTACAACGGATAGGGCCAGCACCGATGCGTAAACGTATTTCATATTTGCCAACTGAGCTCACAAACCATTGGGTATAATCTTATATAGCCACATAATGGCCAAACAGTTAACTAATCGGCTTCACACAGTATCGCTTATCAGTCTTGGAAGAACCTATTTACGATGATTGCTGAAATTGCTACTGATCCATAAATAACTAATAGTGGCTATAAAAAGTGCTACGTAATTGATAACGTTAGCTAACTTGCTTTTACATTTGATTTTTAAATATTATTTCCTAATAATAGCCAGAAAATCCAAAATATTCAAGATTATTCATGCGACAATGTAAGTTTTTATTCTAAGCACGCTTTCAAATTTAAATGCCCTTGTTAACGACACCGGAGTTTTGTTCGATCCAGTCCAAGTAGGAGGTGACGCGTGTGAACACACCTGGCCAGCCAACCTCGCAACCAAGAGCAATGCCAAAGGAAGTGGCGCCAATTAGGGTGTTGCTGCCGTCATTCAATACCAAAGGACCGCCGGAATCGCCGTTGCAGGTGGAAGTGCCGCCAGTGGTCTTAATGCAAATGTTCGTTGAGCTCACGGCACCAACGTACCACGGTGAACAGCCTGAGTTGTTCATTATGGGGACAGTAATATACTGCAAAATGTCAGTGGCCCCAGTTGCCTCTGAAAAAATTTAGCACCATAAGCTGAGTACTTCGACAGAAATCTAATTTAGAGCTTACGATCGGTAGTCTTCCCCCAGCCAGAGGCAATAGCCTGTTCGCCAGCATATGTGCTGTACTGGCCACTCTTGACGGGCAGCTTAGCTGGTTGAATATATTCGTTGAATATAATTTCCACGGGCAGCTTGATGAGAGAGATATCATTGGTGAGGGTGGACGGGTCCCACTCCTCATGCACAATCACGGATTTAGTCTGCACAAAGATAATCTGTTGACCCTCTTCCTTCTTATTGGTTCGATCCCATGCGCCCAGGTAGACATCCACGCCGGTGGTTAGAGAGTCTGTGCAGTGAGCAGCCGTAAGAATATATCGTTCGCTGATCACAGTGCCTCCACACCAGGCAGCGCCTCCTTCGACGTAGAGCAGGAGTCCCGCCTGATAAGGGAATTGATTACGTCCAGCAGTCTCGCCCCTGGTGATGCGCCCGGCTGGTGAATCGTGACGACGAATCATGGGCACATTGGCATCAACGTCCAATGACTTGAGGGACTTCCAGTCCACGGCGTTGGCGCCGACAACGGCAACAAGAAGCAAAATCGAAGCACACGCGAATTTCATGATGAAAACAACTGAAGAAACTTGATCAAGTCGACGATCTTTTATAGCAAATAAAGCTAAGCGACTGCATCATATATCTTAAGCTATCGCATATTCCTAATCATTTGATTTACAATGAAATACTGATTGTGGCTATTTCTAGTTCCGATGTCTTGATTATTGGCGTGTGCTATTTAATAAACCTATACCTGGGAAATTCCTTGAAAAGAACATTCTTATTATTATTTCTTTATCTATTTTCTATATACCTTGATTTAATCCTTATTATTTGGTTTGAGCTAAAAGTAAATGAACTCAGCTTAATTATTCAACCGATTTATTATACCCTGAACCCATTGAAAATGGGAAATCAGGGTATAATGGTTTTG